GCTGTCCTCGAAGGGGCCGCGCAGGCCGCAGTCCAGGCTGAGGCAGTAGCCGGCGCGGCTGCGCTGGATGGAGCGGAAGAGCACGTAGTCCACGGAGCGCACTGAGCCCTGCAGTTCCAGCAGGCACGAGTCCTCGGATGGGCTGGAGCCGCCCGGGAGGTCGCCGATGGCCGACAGCACCAGGGACCCGCTGTCCATGGACACTGTGGGCGGCAGGGGGCGCTGGTGGCACCGCCGGCAGCAGGCACAGGGTGCAAGACGCCTGGCCCTCCTCTGTCCCTAGTCAGCCGTCCCTGGCACCCCCCAGCTCTCTGCTCACCATCCACAATGGAGGCCACTCGCTCGCACATGCAGGTGCCGTCGTGAAGCTGAGGGTCAAACAGAGTGGCCTGCAGAAGAGAGGTCCAGCTCCCTACTGGCATGGCCACTCCCCTGCGAGGCCCCAGACCAGCTGTTACTTGGCTAACTTTCCATGAGTGATGCAGAGGTGGTAGTGCCTGACCCACCCGCCTCACCGGGCTCTGGGGAAGATCAAAGACGGCAGGGCCATCAAGACGGCCGGCGGGCACTGTCCTGGCCAGGGCCCGCATCCCGCTGCTCACCTGGCTGTCTCCTCGCAGGCCCATGACAGCCTCATAAGAAGGAGGGCAGTCAGTAGGGTACAAGGGCACAGGGCTGTCCATGGAGCCGTTGTACGTGATGCTGGCAGGATGAGGGAGACATCAGGGCCCGCAAAGCGACTGTTCCCGCCATGCTGGGCGCCACTGCAGGCCCAGCCCAGCGTCTTCCTCACTGCCCCATGGAGCCCCACCTAGCCTCACCTCTGTGCGTCTGTCTCGGAGCTGCAGGTATACTCTGGGGGGTAGTAGGGTGGCGGGGGCACCGGTGGGACAAATTCCTCCAGGGCCAGCATGGTGTGCAGGAGTGGGGCCGGAGGAGAGGCCGCACAGGTGGGTGGCCCCAGGGGGCCTGAGACAGAGTGCTCGGGGGCCAGCTGCTGGGGCAAGCAGGCAACCAAGCCTGATTTCTGGGCGTCCAGCTCTTCCTCGGCCCCCACACCCTCCTCTCCTCTGTGCTCTTTCCTGAGCCCTGCTCCTCTAAGCTCCACTTCTGTTCCTGCCCATGGGCACAAGGGCTACTCCTTAACCCTGAAGCGCCCTGAGCCTACCCAGAAATCCCTCCCATCCAGAGTCACTAGCTGTGTTCTCAGTCACTTTAGCCCCACCTCCACTCTACCCATCTTCCTCCTCTCAGGCCCCTCTCCTGACCCAGGGTGGCATCACACACCCAGCGACTCCTGTCACCTCTCCTCCTGTGGCCCCCTAACCATCCCACCAACAGACAGGCGCAGGTGCCCAGAAGCCAGCCCTG